TATGATCGATATATACTAGAAAACGTATTTTAATTTTAATTTTTGTATTTTAAAAATTTTAATTTTATTTTATTTTTTTCTTAGTTCAAGTTAATATTGTTTTTTGATATTTTTAAATTATGATGTGTCAATATAAAAAAATAAAAAAAATAAAAAAATTATTTTGATATATTAAAAAAAAACATTTTAAAAAATTAAAAAATAGTTATTGTTATACTCTTAAAATTTTGTATGGTAAAAAATAATCCTAGAGTTGAAAAACTTTGGTGTTAAGAAACATCTCGTAAAACATTTTACAATGTGGTGATAATGGAAGGTGACAAAGATGATGTGGCGTTGATGGGGTACTGAAAATTGCATTGATGATGAAGGAAGCAGCGGTGATGATATTGGTTCCGGTGGAGGTGGTGCGCAATACCTGACAACACGGTAAGGGCGGGGTGGTGCTGTGATGGTGTGATAGTTGTTGAAATAATCTACTACCATGAATAAATATTTTCTTAACTAATGAGCTCATTTTACAATCCATGCATGAAAGTGGTCACATTTTCGAAGGGGAGGGGTCCAGGCTCATTAAAAAGCATGGATAAAATAATAAATAGTAAGTGTCCTCCCGCGCATTTATGGATAACAAGAAGAAGTGGAGAAAGGATGTGGCCTGTATTAAATGTGTGGGGTTGGTGAAAGTAGGGGGGGATTTGTTGACAGCTTTTCTTTTTATTATTATTTCTTAAGCGCCTCTTTCACGTGTTTTTTTGTTTAATGAAAAATCACATATAAATTAATAAATATAACTGTACTCTCATGCATTTTTTTTGAAACAAAAAAAAAAAAAAAAAAACAGAGGATGGTCATGGTCTAAATAAATCAAAACACCTTATTTTCACCAAATAATAATAATAAACATGTCGACGCTGGTTTTTACCCTGTTCGGCCTTAACCCAGGTTTACCAAACAATTTAGATTTTTTATTTCAGACATCATGTTTTTTTATTCTATTTTCTTTAACTCGACCCAGTTTAAATCCAAGTTAAAAGTCATTTAGGAATTTAATTTCAGTTTTTCCTTTTACTGTAATTTTTAAACATGCGTGTGATGCCCTTTTCATTTATTTGTAGAAGAACAGATCTGGGTGGGCTTTAATATTTTTTGAGTATTTTTTAATGATTTCGACATGTATTTAAAAAATACTTGAAAAATCAAATTATTTCAACATGTATTTAAACCCTCCAAAAATAACTCGCACGTCAAATCTCAAGTACCACGCTGAATGCATTGAGCTCATCTACAATCTGCTGAGATTTTGTTGTCTCTTAGTATTCTTGTCTGGGGCTTAAGCATTATTTATTTACCCCTTTTTTTTTTGTCACGTTTGTGCTTGCTAAATATAGGCTCTATCAAAAAGTAGATCGCAAGGCAAAAACAAAGCAAACCGACGTTGTTATTATATAAATTGTCCATCACTTCATATGATCAGGGCTCACAGTCATACATAATGCTAGTGCCTTTTTTCTCTCGTTATGGTACCATCTTCTCTCTCTTGAATTATTATTATATAATTAAATGACTGTTTGTTTACGTGGTTATATTTCTTGTTGAAGCTAACCACGGTAAATTGATGTTTCATGATAAATGAAATGTATATTATTGCTCATGTACCTTGTTAACAGTGCTTAAAATATACAGGGTTATTAAAATCAGCTCACTGCTGCTTTTATTTTTCTTTTTTCGAAGTGAAAAATGAATTATAATTTATTTTTTACTGTTCTGTTTGGATAAGATGAAATAAGTCTAGAAGTAAATATATTAAATCAGATTAGATCTAGAAAAATAAAAAAATAAATTTTATTTTTTATTTTTGTGATTATATTTTATTCCAAAACTAATATTTATTAGTTCAGTTCAAAATTAAATATATTAAACCGGGTCTGATTTAGTAAAATTTTAAAAAATAATTTTTTTTATTTTAAATTATGTTTTATTTAAAAAACTAGTATTTATCAATTTAGTCCAAAACTAAATGTATTGAACCGGGTCCAACCTAGTAAAATAAAAATATTTTTTTAGTTATGTTTCATTCAAAAAACCTAGTGTTTTTAAAAAATAAATTTTATTTTTTATTTTTAACTGTGTTTAGATTGTGTTTTATTTAAAAAACTGGTGTTTAACATTATAAAGTATCACTATATAAATTAGACAAAGATCATTTGATGACATAGCATTTACAGAATTTTATCGTAATTTTAATTTTATTCATAATTATATTTTACCTGATATTATTATGCACTTAAAAAACCAAGAAAGTTATAATTATTGTCAGATGTATTTCATAAGTGATGAAATTACAGGTAGTTTAATGGGACGATAAAAATTATTTCATATAAAGTATTGTTTATTTCAAGATGTAATAGCAGTAGTTATATCTACAATATTAATATATATATTTAAAAATCTCAATTTGAAGAGCATTATTAACCAAATATATTAAATTATTTCTTATTTAACTTCAATTTTAACTATATTTTTAGCTAAAATGTATAAATATCAAACCAATTTTAGCTAAAAATATTTTTTTCATGAAATAATTTTTTCCAAACCACAATATAAAAGCTACCACTATATCAAACACAAACATATTTCAAAAGTTACTACTATACCAAACACAAATGCATTTCAAAAGTATGTTAACTTGTTATGTAAAAATATTAAATTGAAGATTTTTTATATTCTTCAATAATTTTGATGGGCTTATATAAAAAAATATATTGGATTGCAATATTAAATATATAATTATTTTTTTATTTTTTTATTGTTAATAATAATACTAAAGATAATAACAATAATAAAAAACCACGTGCTGGAGGGATAGCTTTTCTCTGCAACCCCCTTGAAAAATCGATTGGCGTTATCTTAATTTGTAGGTCCTTATTTTTTCAGGGATAAATTGTACAATTAGTATAGAAATTGAAAAAGAAATGGGAAATTAGTAAAACAAAAAAAAATCTTATTAAAATAGCATGATTTTAAATTTCACACTCCAGAATATATAATTAATATCATGAATTAAAATCATGATATCAATTAAATTAATATAGTGTTTATGAACAATAATATTAATTAAATATCATAGTTTTAAACTAAGATGGATTTAATTTTAGAATGTTTTAAGAAAAAATAAAAAATGATTGTAGGTATTTTTTAGCGAAAAGAAGGCTTTGGATGTCAAAGTTTTTTTAAAGAGGAGGAGTCGCATCTATCTATGTTCTTTAATCTGAGAAAATATTTAAATTTCATGAAATGTTTTTGAGACATAACATGTTTAATTGTTGTTTTTCTAAATCTGAAAACTAATTATTGTTTAATTGTCATTTTTGGTAATAATAATATTTATTAATTATCATATTTTAAAAACCAGAAAAGTTAAAAATAAGTTATTTAACCAAAAAAATTTAAATTTAATTTTTTTTAAAAAAATTATATCAAAGAAAAGTTAAAAATAAGTTATTTAACTAAAAAAATTTAAATTTAATTTTTTTTAAAAAAATTATATCACTGTGCTATTTTTTTTAAAAAAAACTTTTCTGGTTCCATTTTTTTCGACTGAGACACTGCCACGCGTTATAATTGTTTCCACCATAAAGCAAAGCCTATGAATGAATAATAGATTAAACACAAACAAACATGATTGGAGCATGCATTGAGATTTGAGGCCATTTGGCTGGAACTGGGACCGGCATGGCTGGTTTGAAGAGCTGTTAGAAAATAAATGGAAATGTGGAACCATTACCGAGAAAGCAAAGTCATCTTCATCAACCGTGATTCCTATCAAGCCTAGATATTTTTTGGTCGCACACGCCATGATAGATACCTCTTTCTTTGATTTTTCTTTGTCACAGAGGAAACTAGAATATTTTGGGGTTTTACCGTTACAAATGGGCTGCCGCAGCCAGGACATCAGGCGTGGAAAGTCAGATTAAAAACAGAGCTTTTAAGAGGGTTAAAAGTTAGAATTTACTAATTTTAGTACTAAAATTTATAATTATTCAAGGGGAGAGAGGGGGCGGGATTGCAGGGGGGCCAGCCATCCCCACCTCCGCCCCTGGTTCCTGGGCTACGTGGCGGGTCGTCCACCACGTTTTTATCATCTTCCTCTTGTCCGATAGTAGATAATTTCCTGCTTTTTACTAGCATGAACAACAATACCCGGTGTGCGGCACAAGAGGATAGATAAGATGCAAGAGACGCGGGCGGGTTGAAGGCTCCCAGCTCATCTATAAAAAGGGCAGAGCATCATGCAGTTCAGCAGTTGATCACTGAGAGAGCAACATACATCCATAGAGAGAAAGAGAAGACATGGCAACCAGAACTCCAAAGCTTGTGAAGCACACATTGTTGACTCGGTTCAAGGATGAGATCACACGAGAACAAATCGAAAGCTACATTAATGACTATACCAATCTGCTCGATCTCATTCCAAGCATGAAGAGTTTCAATTGGTAATTAAAATAAAGCCACTTTTCTACCTTCTCTGTCGAGTTCATTGAGTAATGACAATCCCGTTCAATTTATGTATTTATCACACACAACTAGCCTCACGCTGCAATGCAAATTGCTTGCAATTCATGCAGAGTCCAAGATACAGTCAATTGGGTCTTTGAATAGCATGTTTCCAATACTATTAACCATTTTTTACTTTATTATATGACAGGGGCACGGATTTGGGCATGGAGTCTGCGGAGCTAAACCGAGGATACACTCATGCCTTTGAATCTACATTTGAGAGCAAGTCAGGCTTGCAAGAGTACCTCGATTCTGCTGCTCTTGCTGCATTTGCAGAAGGATTTTTGCCTACTTTGTCACAGCGTCTTGTGATAGACTACTTTCTCTACTAAATGCTCAGGAGTAACGACTTCGGCCGGGCTATTTCAAGGGAATAAAGTAATGTAATGTACAATAAATGCTGGTTTTGAACCACTGAATGTTCGTGTCTTGATTTCTTGTTTGTGCTGTGCGATGTGAAGGGAGTGCTGCTATTCCTTAAAAATAAAGCCCTTGGGGTTAAGTTGTAGTTTTTCAATCTTTTTGCACGATTAATTTCGGGTTGGTGTTGTTTTCTTCCCATTCTATGCCATTATCCTCGAATGAGCTCCACCATTGACGCACTTTCATGACTGCGTATGTACTTCTCTGATGCCAAATGCCAAGATGAAAAAAGAAACGATAACAAGAGTAAAAGGAAAGAACCAGCATCGATACTGGAAACAACCCTCACAAGAAAAGCTAAACTGTAAAGATTCAGCACTGGAAGAACCTGCCATTTAAAACAAGTGAATTTGCATTGGCCCTTCAACATTTTTAATTGTTATTTTCTGTTATTGGATCCTTCTTTCAATTAATTTATTTGGCACGTCACATGTTTCGCATGAACTTCAGTCGGTGGTTTGTGGACGGTAAAGCGAAAGGAAGAAAAGGCAAAACAAATTTTTTGGAAGTGCATGATGAAAAATCAAGACCGGAGCTTGCAGCCAAGTTTACCAGTCAAATTAAACAGGCAGGACAAGAATTTAGAATTCACATATATATATATATATATATGACGTGTAAAAAGCAAGGATTGAAAGAATATTCCAGTGTCAAAACGTAGACTCATTGTATACCTGTGTCTTTCAAAGTGTTATTATAATTATTTTTTAAAATAATTTTTATTTAAAATAATAATTTTTATTTTTAAAAAATTATTTTAAAAATCAGTGTATTATAATGATATAAAAACATTAAAAAATATCAATTTAAAACAAAAAAACAAAAATTAATTTTTTAAAATAATTTTTAAACACAAAAACAAACAAATTACCTCCTCTTCCCTGTCTATCGTCAATTTAATATTAATTAATTTTTTTAAATAATTTTTAAACACAGAAACAAACAAATTACCTCTTCTCTTCCCTGTCTATCGTCAATTTAATATTTTTTAAATAAAAAACATATTAAAAATAAATCAACTACAGAGCAAACACTTTTATTGACGAGTTCCAACCGAAGTTAATGCAGCAGGGTAATTAATGTTAAAATTTTGAAGAAAAAAAATCGTTTGAGTTGTTATGTTACACAGAAATACATCTCATTCTCGGGTAAAAAAGTATCCTCTCATCATAAGAACCATGCGTGGGCCAGGCGACTGATCCGCCAGGCAAACTTATGATTTTTGTTTTTGAGCAAATAAACAGGTTATCATTCTCTTAAAGACAGAAACCATAAAAATCCAGGCATGTGAGACCCGCATGCCCGAGCTCTTCTTCAAGAGGTTCCAACGTGCGGGACCTTTAGGCTCTTTTTTAGTTTTTTTCATTTATTTTTTGGTCTGTTGTATGATAAATTTAAGGAAAAAATATTAGATTTGGTTTCGTTATTGGTGCGGTCACGATTTTGATAATTTAAGATATGATATCCAATGACTTTTTTTTATGCATTTCCCCGTTTGATTAAAAAAAAATATATAGTCTAATTCTTTATTATCATTTATTTTTTAATTTGACTTAAGATAAAAGGAATGCATTCTCATCTCATCCCTTTTTTTTATCATGCAGCATAGAGAAATTATACCTAACTTAGATCATATTCATGGACGGGTTGTAATTTTTTTTGGTTAATTCAAGCTGAATGAAATTGATATAACATGATATTTTTTTAATTTTATTTTTATTTTTTTTATAACTCTTTAATTTACCTTCATATTTAATTTCTTTTTTTTTTCCAATTAAAGACAATCAAGAAGAGAATAAGGGAAGAAAAATAAAAGAAATCGGTTACCAAACTGAGTTAATTAATTATGATTGTGTCCAGTGGAGGAGCTGCATAGTGTCAAAGGGGGCAATTGTTCCATAATCTTTTTTTTTAATATATTTATATTAAAATATGCAATTGCCCATTCATTTTTTTTTTTTGAAGTATTTTTTATATTAGACTATTAAAAATATCTTAACATGTTTAATTTTCTTTGCTAGCTACTAATTAACCCAAGTTAGCTATTGTTAACTTACAATATGATATAATATATAACATATAATATATATGTTCAGCATATTTCACTAAGTTTTTTATACATATTTCATTAATTAACTAAAACCTTTCTTCTTCCTTTCGAGCTACTATTCCTGATTCTTTTTCTTTTGCAAAATTTATCTTAAAATTTTAAGCTATTAATTAGTTAAGTATATTTTATGATTTTTCAATATAATATATTTATATAATATATAATATAAAATATTTGTTAATAGTTTGTTGGTTCCGTCATTGATTGTGTTTATTAACATATTGTGAATTTCAAATATTAACACGAGGTTGTGTGATTGTGTCTGTTATCATATTGTGAATTTCAAATATTAACACGAGTCAATATCCATGTCATTGTATTTTTTATTTTACTTTTTTAATTTTTATTTAATTCTTTAATATTTTATTGTTTTATATTCAGACTATGGTTAGATAAAATTAAAACGATGGCTGCAGGAATTGTTTTTCACCATATCACTATTTGAATGGGCAGATCAATTCATTTTTGGTTTGTTAGGTCAAACAAGCCTCGGCCTTTTATAATTGTTGATTAATTTTATCTAATACATGGTTACGATATTTCATTTATCATTTCAAATATCTCATCATGTGTGGGTAAAAATAACAACACTTATATTATTTGAATGCAACTATTGGTTTCTCATCCAATCCCCAACTAAACGGTGCAATACGCTAGTTAAAGTCTACATTATTTTCATTGGTATATTTATATTTTATTTTTATTTCTCCAAACCACTTGAATTATATCAACCTCAGTGTAATTGTCGCACAACACTAATTGGTAAAATATAGCAAATAGAAAAATGGATATAAAATGAGTTTTGCAAGACAGGATTTTCAATAGCTTTGAATTTCAATGTTTTTTTAACATTTTTGACGAGTTATTTTAAAAAAAATTAGATTATCAAGTTTTTATCAAGCAACGCCCCCAACAGCTTTCCTAACTTTGGACCATTTCTTTTCTCGTAATGAAAAAAAAAAAAAAAAAAAAAACTAATGTGAATGCAAAAGCACCGGCACAAACACATCGATCAAGTACCAACCTCAACAGGGGAGAAGACTTTCCCGCCACGTTGTTTGGCAGCACCCAAAAGATACAGGCTGGCAAGAGAGTTCAGCATTTTAAAGAGGCCACCATGGCACAGTCCTGCAACACCTAGGAAAGTGGTATAATGGTACGAGCCTGGAATTAAAAAATTTATTCTTTATAATTTTAAATTTGAACTTTGTAATTATTAATATAATCGTTATTAAATGTTTATGTAATTATTAATTTTATAATTTATAAAATTAATAAAAATATACACAGATTACTCGAACACGTACATTAACAAAAAAAAAAAAAAACTAAAGAATCAAGAGACCAGCACTTGTCCAGTAAAACCACCATCAAAGCCCCGAAAATGATATCCTAAACGGGAAAAAAAAAAAATGCTTTGATAATTTTGTTTTTGTCAACCATATACCTGATCCTGCTTCCTCTCACCCCAAAATCTACATGTGGTTTTGCTTTTAGAACTGAAAACATAGATTAAAAAAAGAAAAGAAATTGGTTTACCAAGATCAAATTAAAAGCAACAGTTTAATATATGCTTTTTGTAAGTTTAAATCCATCAATAATACACAATACATTCCAGGAACTCTAGCAAAGAGCTGATTCTTGTTGATCTCGGAGCTTTATTACTACAATAATAAAAAAATTAAGCAAACCATCGATCAGTAGAGCAAACAATGGAGGAAGAATAGAAGCTCCAAAGCTGAGCAGATAAAAATAATTAATCTACACTGTTACCTTGCTTACTTGCCCTTCTCAATAGGCTGATTAACATATGAACAGATTAGAAGCCGACTCGGAGGTTCAACCGATGTAGGGATAACATTAAAGACTTAGGATTTCAACCGAAATACCTTCTTTCCTTGCAATCTGACATCCTCTTATCAAGCGTAGAAGAATCACCACCAGCCTAACCATCCTTGTCATCGGTGATGCGCGAGCAAATCCCTGCCACTGCACTTGTTTCTTCTCCATCATGAATACCCTTCCCTTCTCTTCTTCGGTGAAATGAAAAGACCCAACTACCCTCGCTGGAGAGTTAGAAAAAATTGATCAAAAGGTAAAGGAAGTCATTTTACCGTCCCATAAAAAACTAAAAGGTCACTTGCGCTCCTTCACAAACCATTAATGACTATAGGTTACATAAAAATACTAAAACACCCTTAAACCGTAGTCATCTCAAGTTTTCTTGCAAGGGCACAATTGATAATATACCGAAGCAATGAATAGTAAGAACATGGTATATATACAGTGTTTTAGCTGCATGTTTTACAGTTGTTAATTGTTACTCGTTGATGTTAATAAGTGACGTGACAGGGGTATTTGGTGTTGAGACGGAGGCCCGTATCGAGGTCAAACTAGAGCACTTGAGACGACGCTTGTTAGATTGGCGGGCTTGCAAGAGCTTCTTGATTCTGCCATTGTTAATAAATTAGCATAAGCCTTTCTCCCTGGCATGGAGCAACAGTTTATGGGCTTGCAAGAGCTTCTTGATTCTGCCATTGTTAATAAATTAGCAAAAGCCTTTCTCCCTGGCATGGAGCAACAGTTTATGGGCTTGCAAGAGCTTCTTGATTCTGCCATTGTTAATAAATTAGCATAAGCCTTTCTCCCTGGCATGGAGCAACAGTTTGTGATAGACTATCGGCTCTTTTAAATTTAAGCATCTCTGCTGCAGATCTTGAAATTTTCGTCTATGGGTTATTGCCTTCTCTGCGGGGATTGAGGAGATAAAATGGAATTATGGGATGCTTCGCGCGTGTTTGGCGTGGACGTGCTGATGGCGTAATAAAAATCCAGATAATACTAAAAAAAATCCAGATAATACTTCAGTGAATTAATCGTGATACGCACAAGCTGGCTCGGACACCCATATTAATCTAAAAAAAATTCAAATAATACTAAAAGAATCTGCGAAACATTTATTAGATTACTTATTTACTTGAAAAGACAAAAATAAACATTTAGAAGGCCACCGTAGAAAGCCCCATGACAAAAGACGTGTTGTAAATCTGCAGCATCACGTGTTTTGAATGTTTTCTCACGTGTTTTAATCAGGTGTATCAATTCCGCTTAATTGATTTGAATGATTGAATTTTTTAAGATAACTGCTAACCATTTGAAGCGCGCTTGAAAGCGGGTGGAAGAGTTTTCTTTTGGCAAAAAAAGTATTGAGTACTTTTTAATATTTCTTTTTAATTCAAAAACTCTTAATCATAAAAAAAATTATATATGCGTTGAATTAAATAAATTAATAATAATTTATGCCAAGAAATGCAAAAAAAAAAATCAACTCATCTATTTAACTTGTTCCATAGTAGGTTAAATAATTTTTTAATTCAAAAAAATAAAAATATAGGTGTTGTTAACATGATTTTTAACATCAAATAAAAAATATAATTATAAATTGAAAACTTGTTACTTACATGCAATCAAATAAAGTGAAGATTGTATGTATCAATAAAAACATGTGTTATTTTAAGTTAATTTTTAAAATAATAGAAAAATAAAATAACATTATGAATATGTTTCATTGTATTATGATTCTTTTAATAAAAAAATATAAAAACATTATTTACACAAAAATAAATAAATCTTAAAATATATTTACCAGTAAAATGATGGGAGCCATGATGGTGATGAAGTTCTGGGATTAAAAAAAAAACAATTCTTATAAAAGTAAAATATTTAACCCCAACGTTTTTCTTTGATGCACATTTTTTTATCATTTTAAAGGTTGTTGTTTCTTACTAATAATCAATAATTTTTATATTTAAGAATAAAGATTTTATATATAAAAATAAAAATAAAATAAAATGCATGGATGAATGAGAATAATCTCTTTAAAATATTAAATACAAATAAAATAATTAAAAAAAACAACCGTGCCGTTTAAAAAGGCTAAATAACAATCTAAAAAATCAGAGAGAAATATTATTAATTTAAATGTAAAATTAAACAATTATTAAAAAAACTTAATAAAAAAAGTATCAATTGAACAAAAAAGGTCAAATGCTCTAGAACCTGGTGAACTACCTCCGCTAGTGGGTGTTTGTTTACGCGGTAGCTTTAGCTTTTAAAGCAAACTGCGTAAACTAAGCGTTTGGTAACGTAAAAAAAGCACTTTTTATTTAGTGGGTCCCATAATTTTTTCCATCAAACCGGGGGTTTGCAAAAGCAGCTAGGAGCTGCTTCTCTCCGTTTGCTTTTCTTTATTTACCTGGACACTATTCATAATAGTGTCCATGCTAGGTGATGCTAAGTAAATTAATTCAACTTGGCACTGTTCATTTAAAGAAGTGAAGAGTGCCCGAGTGAATTATAATTCACCTGCAATGCAAGAAGCATTCACTTGGCACTGTTCACGTAAACAGTGTTAGGTGAATTTTTTTGCATTATTCATGTGAGCAAAATTCATTGCATCGTGTCTAACCTAACAGCTATCGCAAAACCAGACACACTTTTAGCCTGATTTACTTGGAAAAGGTGCGGATGATATGTCATTTGTTATATTATCGAAGAAAAAACCAAGGACTAGTGTGTTAAGTGTAGTGGTAATTATTCCAAGTGTTAGGATAGAAATAATATATTTTTTTCAAAAAATATATTCAAGGAAAAAAGGGATTTTTTACAAAATTAAAAAATAGTGAAAATAAAAAAAATAGGTCAAGTGTAGAGTAATATACATGACATATGTGAAGAAAATTGAGGTAAAGAAAAAAAATTACAAGTTTGTCACCACTTGAGTAAAAAATAAAAAAACTTATAATTTTTCTACCACTACAATGAAAATTTTATAAAAAATTTTATAAAAATTTTATAATTTTATCACAGTTAAAGTAAAAGAAATTTAAAAATTACAAAATTTTAATTTCCAAAGTGATTTGCCATTTTCTTGTAGAATACCTTTATTTATGAATAATGATTAAATATGATTATTATCAAATATGATTTAAAATATATACTTTCATATATAATATTTATATTATATATATATATATATTATTTTATGTTGAACGGTAAATAATACCTAGATATTAATATTAAATAAACATATGATATTCAATAGATAAAAATTACAATTTAAAATCTTTTATTCAATAACCAATAAACAAGATATAAATACAGTAAATTTTTTTAGGAATGATTGCCGTTGTCTTTTCTGATTCTAGTAAATGCCGAGCCATGCCAAGAAATTATCTGAATTGGAGAGTTACATGGGGTGTATAACTAGAGAGGTGTCGTTCAAATGAGAGAAAGCAACCTAGGACTCCTAGCTAGTTAGCTAGTCTATAAAAGGGGCACGGGGTCATACAAGCTCGCAGCATCGAGGGAGAGGAAAGAACTGAGATATTCAAGAGAAATACGTTTAGAATTCGAGAGAGAGAGAGAGAGAGAGAGAGAGAGTTCAGACAATGGCCTCGAACAAATCTGCAATCGTATTACCTGGTTCAAAGGTGTTGAAGCACATAGTTTTTGTACGGTTCAATGATGCGATCACCGATGAACAAATTGAGAAATTTATAAAAGACTATGCTGATGTCGCTGATGCAATCGAGTCCGTGAAGGGATTTGGCTGGTAACATAAATGCATATCCTTCTCTCAACTGATTTAATTTAATTTTCCAGCTCCTTTTTTCAAACTAACTAGGCACTGCTAGCTCTGATTTCTCTCTGTCGTGATTGCGATTAATTTCCTAACACAAATCTTTACCATTTTAATCTGTATTGTGTTGTGACAGGGGTAAAAACTATCCTGTTCAGAAACTGAACCATGATTACCTTTACGGGTTTGAGCTTTCATTTGACAGTCAGGATGCCTTCGATGAGTATCGTCAATCTCCTGTTCTCACTGAATTTAATGCCAAGTTTTTGCCTGCCTGTGCAAGCCGTATGATCATGGACTACTATCTCTTCTAAGTCTCTCCAAGGACAATGAACCTCTGCTGCCCTGCAATTTTCATTTGTAAATGGAAATATGCTGAAGTAATAAAGATCAACTCGTGTTGAATGTTTCTTTGGTTAAGTTAAATTGAAGTGCTGTATATGTTGTAAGCCTTTGTGTGGTTCAGGGTTTAACGATCCCTATCAATAAACAAATATTTTATGATACTCTTTTTTTTTAAAAGGTTTTTCTTTCTATTTCCAATTAGCAATTAGCATCGCTACCTCGCCAGGAGTCATAACCTCCTTCTCGAATTTTCTTTTTTTCCTTTTTTTCTTTTAATCAAAGGAAAATGCAATTTCATCGATGAAAGTCGGATTGCCATGGGCTTAGCTTCTTACATTTTATATTTAAAGGTCAGTATTTTCCAGAAAAAAGAGCTGTCTCAGATGTAACATGACAAACTTTTTTATCCCATAATACAGACAGTGTATAAACACTCATTCACCATTCCAATCAAATGGTTTCAACTCCAGGTCAAGGAATGTCCTGAGCAATGATAATAAATCATGTTCGAACCATGAACTCTCAGTGCCTGACCTCCCATGGGGATGGCGATTGTATCTGTTTTTGCAGGGATATGTTTTTATTTATGTGAATAGAGATATGGGCATAAAAGGATTTTTGTTTTTATGGAGAGGAAGGTGGAGGAGACATGTAAAAACACCTGATTTATTCGGATATGGAGATGGGGGGGGATATCCTCCGGCCCACAAAGTACAGACAAGTATGGAAGTTAGGGAGGTCTCCATATAGACGGAGGTTGGTGGTGCATCCCCCACCTCCATGGATCTCTGCTGTTATCCCTGACCCTGTGAGAGTAACAAAACCTAACCTGTGAAACCAAGCAAGTGTCCTCTATGATGAGCCTAAACGCATGATATCATTCTGAAGAGCTGGACACATACTGATACAGTGTATAGTGTCGTGATACAGATTTTCAGTACTCGGAAAAACCTTGAAAAAATAACATTAACAAGATACTAAAACATGTTTTTCCATATTAAAAGGAAATGAACCGGCCGGTCCTCAATACAGAGCAGAACAGTAAAATGTGAAAGCTCGCCAATTTGAATAAGTTCAGGGTAAATGATAATGATGGCTAAATACCTACAAATAAAATAAACTAGAAATACAAATTAATAAAAATATAAAAACGTTACCTGAATAAATATATCGAATTTAATTTTTAAATGTGAGCAATTTTGGCTAGTTGTGTTGGTTTGGATAGGAGAAAGAATCGTCATAAGTGAGCAATCGAACATCTAAATTAATAGTTGTTGTTTATTATCTTATTGGGCGTGTTTACTCTTCATTACCGTCTTCTCTGATTCATGCTAGTTGAAATAATATATAAACTTATATGTACAAGCTTAGTCTAGTGGTACTGTACCTTTAACTTCTTTCGGTGGTATATACTTCATCTTTACCCTGTTACATTTAATTTTTTTTTTTACATACAAAAAAAGAATCCAAGCATTATTAATATTTTTTTAGTAAAAAATTGAGATGGTATAAAAGTTGATATGATTTAACTAAATTAATTTGAATTCAAAAATAGGCTTGATAACCAATAAAAATATAGTTTGATTTATAAAAATTCAATCTAAATAACCTATAAAAATATAGTTTGACATAAAAAAATTCAAGATAACAACTTTCTTTTGAAAAATATTATTGAAATAATAATAATTTAATTGATTGTTATTAACCCGAATTAACCTGTCAAATTCATGATTCAGTTCATGATATCATGATAATTTTATATAAAGTAATTCAAAAAAATTATAAACTTAATTTTCAATCAACACAATATCAAATAGATGAATTTTAAAAAATATCAAATTTAATTTACTAAACTCGTAACTTAGGTCATAAAATTAAATAATTTTATAAAAAATAAATCAAAATAAATAATAAAATCTAGTTTTTAATAAATTTATTATTGACATTTAATTATTTTTTTTGTCGTTTGTGTGGGAAGCCTATCTTAGCTGCACAAGACAAAATCACTTGTATCTCTATATGGGAAAAAAAGAAAAATGTTAGACTTACTAGTCGACATGATCTTGCCATTTAAAGTTCTTTTTAATAATTTTCCTTAAACTAAGGTATTTGTAAATTACCTTGTTCAATAAAATTACAATGACATGTGTGAATGGTTAGTAACAAGCATATATCTTACTCTCTCTCTCTCTCTCTATATATATATATATATATATATATAATTTGCTATAATTTACAAACATTACAAAAACTCATGATTTATTGATACATCTTCCTTTTGATCTTTATTGTTCAAATACTCGTATTACCATGATTGTTTCTCGCGATGTTTTTAATTTTTCATGGCCGCAAACATTCAGTTTGAAATCCCATAGAACATATCGTGATAAATGAATTCCCTCGTTCTGCATCCTTGCATTTATCGCCTCTCACGTGAGTGATGTTTTTGCTTCTCAGTCGAGGGGACGAACCTCAAATGTCGTCGTCGAATGGAGCCCTGGACTGGACCATTCATTGAGGGCTAGTGGGTGGCTGGGGACCACGGTCCCTAGTTCACGTGGACGCGGTCCTCTCTACTTACATCAACGCTGCAGACATCCAGTGCAGCCCGCAGGGATGGGGTCTCATCCACGGCTACATGGTTGCCCTCAAACATTCATTGCATGGCTATCTTTTTCTGATAAACGACAAGACGGCACGTCTCATATTCATTAAAGCTGTGTCCGACCATTTTTGGTAACCGTTCGTTTTGTTAATAGTTTTTACTGTAGTTTTGACGCGACTCTAATATCTTATTATTCTTTCTTCTCTTACCTCTTCCACGGAATTCGTGTGCGCCCGTCCAGGCTTGCTCATATTTTATATTATTTTTTTAATATGTTTTTTTCAATTTAAAATTTGCGTAGAATCATCGCTATTATATACTTAATTTTAAATTTCAGTTTAGGAAAATAAAGATAACAAGATTTAAATCTTTGATGACTAGACACAAAAGAATCCAATACCTTACTGAAAAATTATCTCACCCGCAAACCTTACGATACTTGCATGTATTACTACACATTTAAAGCAGGAAAAAAAATTATTAGCATTCATGACAGAGCTAGAATTTGCAATTAAGAGGTGGAAAATTAAGTAAAAATAATTACATTTATTATCACATAAAATAATACTACTCTATAAATTATCACATCATAATTGAATTGCAAGAAACAAAACAAAATTAAACATGGCAGTTGCCTCCTCCTCTCCGTACTTGTTAATATACGTGGTTGAAGATAAATCTATTAAAAAACTACACTGTAGATTTTATATGTATCTTTAATGTATTAAAAATTATTTTACTATTAAATATATATTTTAAAATATCATACGTTACACGGTAAAATTAAAATGCATAGCCATTTTACTGTCTAGGGCACCGGTGCTGTGCTCTGAAACGTCGTGCATTGCTACAACTCAACAAGTTGATCCACCCTTTTTAACTTTTTTTTAGCCCTTCCTGTTACAGATACATCTCCGTCCCTGCAATCCTTCACAGGCAATTGTTGGCTGCCACGCTTGTCCCGTACCTTACCAATAACAATCTCTTTTGCTGCACTAGTTTTTTTTTAACTAAAAGTCACAGAAAGCATCGGAGAGTGTGGAGTCTGCATGCAATTCAGTTGCACTTGCAAATATGGTCTCGCCGGATAAAAACTTATTTTTATATATTTTTTATTGTATTTATATTAAAAATATTTTTTTAAAAATATATCATTTTAACATGGATATTTTAAAAAATAACTGATATATCATAAGAGACACTATAAATATTGAATCACTGCATTACCCATTATACAGTAAAACTAAAATGCAAAGCCATTTTATTATCTAGGCTGCTATAGGACAAAACAATCGTGGGTTGCTATAAATGATGATTCGATTCTCTCTATTTCGTACTCGCACTCAAGTTATTGCTCTATTACATTATTTTATTGAAAATGACAGAAAACGTGGAGAGTGTGGAGTTTGCATGGGCTCCACCCTCAAATTATTGCTTTATTATATTATTTGTACTAAAAGTAGCGAAGAAAACTTTGGACGGTGCAGAGTTCGTAAGGCCTCTACGCTCCCGATCACAACAATTTTAAAATATTATAAAAATAATAATTATTTAAAAAAATAAGAATTTTTAAAACTTAAAAACAAATGAATTCTTAAAACATTTGTTAAAAGGACTGTAGCTTCCAAAAAAAAAAAGTGGAATTCTTAAAACAATCGTGGGTTGTAATTATTTATTTTCAAGGATTGGTTCATAAACTCAATATTTTATTTTAATTTTTTTCTAACCCGAAAATAGCCAAGGACTCGACTCTCTCGCTCCGTCCCCGTTAAGTTTTTTTCTTTTTTTTTTTCCACATAAATCTCATTTGTGTCTTTATTTTTGTTCTAAGTCCCGATGTTATTAAATTAGCATCATGTATAGATCAAATCCTTTGAATTCAATTCACTTCAAAGATTTTTTTAAAAATTTATATATGTTTGTGATAGTTTTAGGAGTCAGTAATTAAATTCCAAAACTAATTTAATATCTAAAAATTGTAAAAAATAAATAAACTAAATATCAGTCTCTCTTATTTAAAATTTCAAATAACTAAGATTTATAGTTAAAACTAATTATTTTAAAATGTTCATTTACCTGTATTTTTTTGGAGATCTTTTACAAAATAAGATGGAGATGGTAGGGTAATATAAAAAACAAAACAAATTAAATTTTACCTCTTTCAAAAATATAAATTAAATATTATAATCAAATTCAATTATAAAAAAGAAAATAAAAATCTATAGGCTGAGGCAGGGGGGCCTGCCTTACGAAAAGACGACGGATGGTTATTTTCTGAGTAAAATTTTAAAAAGTGACGCAATTTGATTTTGTTGTCGGGGTGGGGCTATCTCTTCTTTTGAGAGAATTCTGGCCTTCGCTGTAGACGTTGAAATCCGGTCGCTAGGCACGTTGATTGAAACCTGTTTTTGTTAATGGTCTTTTCTTATTAAATTATTTTTATTTAAAAGTATATTAAAATAATATTTTTTTAATTTTTAAAAATTAAAATATTAAAAAATATTAATTTGAAGTAAATAAAAAATAAAAAATAAAAATTTTAATTTTTAATTTTTT